CCTAGTGTGATGATCAGTGTTAATGTTGTATAGCTTCTGTTTTGTAGGATGGTATCATCTCTCCAGAGACAGACAGCGGGTTTGTTGGTTCAGAGAGCAGCCGTCTAACTCCTGCAACAGCTCCCAGTCCTCTCCACCAGAGGGCATCAGAGAGGTGAGTCCAACTCTGCCTCCCTTCCTCCATAGTGATTTACTGCACTAATAATTTCAGCTCAGGTGCCATCCCCCACCCCATAACACACACAACACATTCTGATGTGATTTTCTATTGTTTTAAAGTGATTGTTTTTTTCTTTGATTAAGTCTTCTGTGTTTTTCTTTTCGTCCTTGTTACATTCCATTATGGTGCAGTGGTGTTCCAGTGCCTCAGGAAGGAAGCACGAGTCTTCAGACAGGCCGAGTCTTTGCACCATCTCATTTTTCCTCACCGTTGCACAGTCATACAGCTAAAGACCTGATTATGAGCTCCCGACTTAGCCTCAGCCTCGACCAACCACAGAGATGCAGAAGGGCAGTGAGGAGACGCACCTCCTCCTGCTCTCCAAAGCGCTGTGTCAATCTGAGACAACAAAGGGTGGCAAGTGGCAGCAGTGAGTTTGGACTTGAAAGTGACGGCAGTGAGTTTCCAATTTGATTTACTTAGTAATCAGTAGTGCTCTCTCTCTTTTTGAGTATTTAAGCTGCTGACCTCCCCTTATTTCTACAGCTCACATTGACTCTGAAGGTGAAAAGACTGACCAGTACAGCAAATCTATCAATTTCCTCGACAGCTCACACTCAAGCTCTTCCACCACTACTCAGCACCACCATTGCGATTCTCCACGAGCAAGGAGTTCCAGTCAGAACTGCATGTGAGTGTTTGTGTGTCTGGATGGGACTTGAAGCAAACAAGTCAACAGTACAAGTGGAGAATGTCCCAGAAACACAAAGCTCTGTGAGTGAGGCAGTAGATAGTCACTCTACAGTGTCACTGTGAATCCTAATGATTTCTGATGAATGACAATAACTGTTGCTACAATAACGCAGTGACATGATCACGCCAAAAACTAATTGTAATGTTTTTATTATAATTTTCTTTTATGTATTTTATTACAGAATCACCTGCTGTTGAATCAGGTTGTATATTAGGAGCTTCTGTTTCCTGCACGGTGTGGTGTTTCTTGTTTCTTTTCAGAATGCGTGTGCACTTGGTTTGACACCTACATCAATATTTGCCATCCACTGAATGGTTTAGTTGCATATTTTCCACAGTAAAGCATTTAAGAGGTCACGTCACAATATTTGGCCACAAAACTTGGTGTGGTATGATAGTGTATTAGTTCAAGCTTACATATGAACTGCAAAGGTGGATTATTTTGTAAAGATCCTTTTTCTGTTTTCCTCTAGTGATGCAGTCCAGATACTGCAGGCTGAGGTAACCAAACTGAAGGAGAGACTAGAAGATCGTCTGAGAAACAAGAAGCCTATCAGCTCTATTAGATCAGCTCCATCAACTCAGGATAACAGCTCTAATCAAAGCACCTCTTCATCTTGCTTCAGGTTGTTGTTGTTTTTTTTCTTTTTTTCTTTTCAATGCTCCACATAAAACCACAGAGTCGGTCTACTGTGATGGATTATACAGTCACTTGTCTTTGTTGCCAAGTAGGAGCACTAAAAACCTGATTTGTGTTTGCTTACTTTGGGTGATATTCCCAAATTTTTCAAATTATTCCAGATGTCTAACAACATCTGGAATTTATGACTTTTTATCTGATGTGCTGCACTTTGTGACTGTCTAGAAAGGTGCTGTATAAATAAAGTTTTATTTATTTATTTAATAATAATAATTGTGGATGTATAATGAACTATGTGATCTTATATTCTACGGCCTGATTTGGAAATTTCATAGTTATGTCACAAATGAAGTTTTAAAGCATTTATAGCAGACTTGCTTTTTGTTGCTTGCTGTTAATTTAGCTTTCTTCCACTTCTCAGGTCTAGAGAGCAACGGAGTGATGTCAGTGCAGGGAAAAGAGAAACACAGATGGTGGAAGAGGTTGCGGAGGAGTCCACACAGAGACGAATAGCCAGGAGAAAATCTGCTTCTATAAACCAACAAAAGCCACAACATGATTACTGTGAGTTCATTGTGATTAACAAATGATCATCAAAATCAAGGAGGGAGACGGAGTGATACCAGTTTATTCATTTCATTTAGCCATTATGAAAGCTTGTATGGTCAAACCGAAGCATGTTCACTCACAGGGACTAACAGATGTAATAGTGTCGTTTCCTTTAAGGTTCTCATCCTGTTTTTGATTCTGAAGCCTGTTATGCTCATTAACTCCTATTTTTAATGGCAAGCCATATCACTTATTGAGTCAGTGTTTTATTTTCAGTGACAAGATCGGAGCTGCAGCCCTGTGCACCACAGCCTCAGGTGTCCAGATGCACTCAAACATCTGCAGCACTAGACAGCTGCTCTTCCCACACAACTACTGTCTACAGCAGGCGGACACAGCACAGTAAGAACACCTACCACACCACTGGAGACACAAAGACAAATTCAGTCAAATACAGCTTCAGAAATTTGAAATTGCAGTGGGACCTGTTCAGACAGGTTAAATAAATCCATGTAGGTTCTCAGTCATCTACACTGCAGTCTTGAGGGTTTGAGCTGAGGGAAACCTCTCTCTGTATTGCAGGGAAGCATCCTGTTGTTTCTGTGTCTGAAAAAGGAGATGAACCTGACAGCAGAAGAAGTCAAGCTCCTGTTTGTTCTCAGTGTTTGTCATTTCACAGAGCATCCCCTGAACGTGAGAATGAATGCCTGGATAAACATGTTTGCTAGCAAAGAGGGCAGAATCCAAGTGTCTGAAGTGCACTTTAATTTAAAGATGTTTTTAACCAATGTTAAAGCTTTATCTGGATTAATTTTATGGTTCGAATGAGTCGATCAGCCTCCATAAAGCCTCTTCTGTGATGTCTCTGTACTGTCAGGACCAGCTGGTGGCGGTAGAGAGATGCTCCATTCCTCCACTTGCTGCCATCAATGTCCTCTCTGTGGACGCCTCGAATCATACAAAGTCATTAAGCCAGGTTAGAGACAATGAGATGCGTTTCAGATGCCCAGTTAGAGCACTGAGGTTTAAATCCTTATCAGAAGAAGGATGTACTGTTATCTTTGTGTGGCTAATCCATTATTTCACCACACAAAGACAAGAGTTTGGTTGTGTGGAAATTTATGCCCGATTTCCACTTGACTCATAAATTTAGTCTGCAGTAAATGAAATGAGTGCAATTATTTTACGTGTTAATGGAGCTCCTGGCCTGCTCTGTGGTTCGCAGACAGTCACAGACTCTCCGACACTTCCACACACATAAAGTACCAGCCAGCCGAGTCCCCTGATGGAGCAGTGGGGAGCAGGTTCTTTGCATCTGCAGCTCCACCTGCACTGCTGCAGTGCATGCCAGTGTGCCCTCCACCACTCCTGTAAGTGCGCTGCTCTCATAGCTCACACACTCATCTGACACAGTATGCAAAAATCCTAAAAGCCTAAAAAATTTTTGTTTCCCAAACTTTTAGATTAACATGCAAATAACAGATTTCATTTATATATCCTTATTTTCTATTTAATTTTAAACTTAAAGATGACAAACTGTGTCCAGAATCCACACAGCATTATCGCCTCAGTCTAAAAACACAGAGGGCAGATTTCACTGGCTTGACTGGCCAGGTCGTTCCCTAAGTGCACATGGCTGCGCTGAAGGGAGGTTTTCTCTCTTAGCTGAGAGGTTTGCTGGATGAGAATTTGGGGCAAAATAGTGCAAGTTATGTGCAGTTTATTGAACAGTTTCTGATACATAACATTTTTCATATATAGTTTTGAGAGAATGTTACATAGAAACATATTGTTCTGTCCTGATCCTTACTTACTTTTTATCTCCTCAGGTTGTACTCGTCCCCCCTCTACGCCTCTCCTAACAGAACTCCCATGTCTTCCGAGGTCACTGGTCCTGGGGAGGTGAGGAGGAGGACGAAAAGACGCCCACTGTCTGTTGACAGGGAGCACTTGTTGGACAGCTCACTGAACAAAGCCATCAGAGCAGCTCGACAGATGAAACACACCTCCAGGCACATGGCTGGCTCGTTGGCATCTGGACTGCAGTACCAGGAGCTGCTCACTCAGTCCTGCAGCTACTAGTGTGAACTGTCATCACAGGCACTAAGACTGAGAGTCATTAACTGAAAAGCAGCTGCAGAACGAGGCACAAGCCAAAAGAACTGAGTCGGACCAAAGTGAATAAAAATCTCAAATCCTCCTTGTAAGTTTTCTTTGCTGATGTTTGCAAAGCATGTATTTTTATCTGCTGGTAAACATTACAATAACTCTGTTTACACTATTATGTCTTATAGATCATATTTATTTTCAAACCTATGACGTACTACAGAGACCTGTATATTCTCATGAATTAGTTCTGCACTTTGAGCCATTTCTTGATCATGTGACACTAGTTTTCAGAAATCTGAAATTAACGTCAGTCTTATTTTAGTCGCTGTAGAAATTCATTTTCTGATGATGTAGAAACTCTTTCTGCTGTAAATGAAATGCACTCATGAGCCATGAGCTCAGTTTTAGATGGTCATTCTTCAAACCATAATCATTTGATGTACCAAGGGCCTCAAATGCTGGATATCAAAGTTTTTTTTGTATGTGTAGATGATATATTTTAAAATGCAATGTTCTAGAAAAATGCTTTTTGTACTTTGGGTTTTTTTTATTTATTGCTCATTTGTGCCGATGTCGATCCAACGTCATTTTCACTGCTCCGTAATGAGAAAAAAAAAAAAAAGAATGTGTGTTGTTGATTGTTTTAGAAATAATAGAAAAAAGTTCAGTCTTTCAGTATAATGGAAGCCAATTTATTAGACAACCTTAGTACATATTAGGTACACATGGAAGTATTGTTTGTGCTTCAACACTCGCAAACATACAATCCCAATAAGTTAAACAGTTTTTAGGACAGACTAATGTTTCAATATTATCTTCTCTGATAAATAATTTTGATATAAATCAACTGATTTGACAGCGTAAACCCTATACAACAGCAAATTATAATAGAAAAGAAAAAATAAACACAAGCGTTTGCATCACAGAAAACGCATCATAGTGCAATATACAACTGTTTGGCCAGGAAAGAGGCAATAGAAGGAGGAAAGAAAAGTGGCGAGGGGTTTCCAGGGTTTTTCTTTGTTTTGTTTTTTAAACTTGCAAAGCCATTCACCATTGGAGGGTTTTACATTGCACCAGAGGAGGAAAACAGACAAAGAAAATATAGATCTTAGTTCTTTTTCCCAGTGGACCACTAAACAGCTACAGCTAAAACACCACAAACACGGCGGCTTCACGTTGGCTTTTTTTTTTTGTTTTGTTTTTTCGTCAAAGGAAAAGTCACTACTTCACAGTCAGAAAAATCACCATTCAACAGTGAGACGCTAAAACAGCAACATATAGCATATACACAACACTACTCAGTGCATGGCCCAATTAAACATCGTTACTAACCAATGATAAGACTTAATCTGACAGGATACAATACTGAAATACAACTGGCCCTTTTTGGAGGATTATTTATTAAATATCAGCAAGCAACGGCCTTTTTGACATTGAAACGTGACGTCTCTGCAGAAGAAAGGAAAAAGATTGTGGCAAGTAAATACTTTACAGTCTCGGCAGCTGGAGGAGGGATGATTCTGGCTTTTAACAGAGCTCCCTCTTTTCCGACTGACTAAGTGGAGCTCTTAAAATGAATACTTGAAACCAACAGATCTTGTTTTGAGTATCAAAAACTCAAAAATCAATACATCCCTGAACACTTTCTGCTTTCTTCTCTGCTAGCCTGTAAGCTCAGTAGCTGGGAACAAGTTTACTTGAGCATACAAACTCAGCGGCCACTTCATTAGTTACACCTTGCTGACACAGGTTTGGACCCCTTTTGCTGCCAGAATTTCAGCAGGCCGTCTTGACCATGCCTACATGCATCAAGCTTCTGCCATGTGACCTACTAGCAATACATTTGTGTTAATAAGCAGTGACAAAGGTATCCCTAATAAAGCGGCCAGTGAAATTGTCTCTTAAACTCTTAAAAATCCTTGAAGAATAGTTTCCTTTTTGTGATGCTCAAAACAAAAAGGTTTTTTCAGCGCCATATTCAACCACAACATTTACATGCGGCTCTCTGAACATCCACACTGGATACAAACACAGTCCAAGCATGCTACTGAATACGAACATCTCAAATGGGTAAGGGAAGGGTGATAGGACAGACTCCTCTCTGATGAAATATATCTATGCATATATTGCATGGTGACTGATATATTTTTTACAATATGAACCCCTCAGGCTGCACATCCCTCCTCTATCTGCTAACGGTAAAAGTCACACCATGGAGGTAACCAAAAGAAACGAACAAGAGAAATCATCTACCTTTTACACATCCTAGCAGGTTTCATAGCGTACAATATTACATTTTGGTCATTTCAATTTTAAATGGCCTTCTTTTCTGATATTTAATCAATTTTAAATACGTTTATTTAGTTGCATCCATTGTAAAATATGAGAATACTTGCAACAATTTTATTCTTTGATATAACGTATCTCTCTTTTTTTTTTTAACTGTCTAAATTTTTTCTCTTCTCAAGCAAGATGCATACACAGTTAATGTGTAGGATTTGGTTGGGAATGATGTGGGGGGAATGATGTAAGGGGGTGGGAGTAAGGTTAAGAGGAGAGAGACTGATTGGAGGATTTTTAGCTCGTCACTTCCTCGTCTGGTTTGTTCATGGCCTTGAGCTGCTCCAGCAGGCTGGTGGGAGTGAAGATGTGGGTCGATCCTGGAGACACGCACACGCATAAAGAGACACACAAACACAGCGCGTTAGATCTGCACGATTGGAAGGAAATTGATGAAAAATGTGTTTTCAGCTTATGTTATGAATGCCTACTTTTTAGACGAGGACAACCTTACATAACGTTGAAAGTAAAGATAGATCCTAAAGTTATGGAATCGGAATTTGTTAGTCAGCATGTTAAAAAGGATTATTAATATGTATTAAAGGAGTTTTAAAAGTGTTAGGGCGGGGGGTATTTTCACTGTACTCAAGTGGAGGCTTAAGTGCTTTTGGGGGTTTCCGTTCCTTTTTTGTCTTGAGGAGATGCTTTGTATTCTTTACTGACACAGACATTAAATGCAAAGGGAAGATAAAGCATTATGCTCACATCACATAAATCAGAAAATGAATTAAAGGTTAAGTAACTATTTAAACCACTTCAAATTTTGCATACTGGCTATTTTAAGAATAGACTAAAACCTTTCTGGGTTTAGATTGTTTTGCACATTAAAGTGGACCTATTTTGCTTCTCTTTATTTTCTGTCATTATATATATATATATATACACACACACACACACTGTTACAATTGACATTACATTGAACTGGACATGGACAAACTTTCAAATACTTCAGCATATGGACAAGTAATCCCTGTAATCTACCCTGGGATGTAGCAGATGTTAATTGGATGGTATTTCCAAATACAGTCACAGAAACAAGCTAATTTTGTTTAGCTTTCTAAAAGTACAAAACAGTGGAATTTGAGGCCAGTATGAAGCTGAATTTTCATTGTGGAGCCAGAGCTATAAAATAGAAGTTGTAATATTATATCACTGACAGTGGTTGTCTTGTATTGATGACTGCTCCAAAGGCTAATGCTAGGCTAATGTGGCTAAATTAGCTTTCTCAACAATTGTATTGTGTGTATCTAGGCAGGCACTTATCCTACCGATAGATCCCCAAAATTGTACTGGAGTAACACAGTGTGTCCATCAAAGTATGAATTTTGTTTTAAGAATCAGAAATTTAATTTGTAATATGTTTAAGAGATGAACTGAGGAGCTGCAAATAGTACCAGTATAAGATACAAAGATTTGTTTTTTTAAAACTGTTAGTAACATAAAACTGTTCTTGCATAGTTCCAAAATAAAGTCAAAGTGGGAATGAGCACAATAGGTCCCCTTTATTTTCTGGAATTTTTGTGAACTTGTGCAGGAGTATGTAATGCACTACTCTACTCTAATACACTCTCACTCCACAAACATACAGTCAGATACCGAGTTATTAGGCTGTGTTATAAATCACATGCAGCTGAACACAATGGGAGCACACAGGTCAGAGATGGCGCAACACAACTACTATGACTAAGTTAGCTTAAAGCAGCAGGTGGACTAGTTGAAAACCTGCAACACCAAATCTGTATTGAGGTTTTGCAGACACGTGACCGCGGACCACACAACGTTAACTTGTCTGCCATTTTGGATGTGGTGGCAATCAAGGTGACAATGTAGGAGTAAGTGAGAAATGTCACACAGGCCTAGCCACCAGTTTGCAGCTATCTGGCAGCCGAAAAAAAGGAGTATTTCTCATCTGGTTCCGAGTGCTTGCTGGAGGTTAATGGCAGACATTGGGAAAATGATTGCTAAAGACTCAATCAAACAGGCCAACAACATGGGTGAGTAATCCCTGAGTAACCACCTACTAGTGGAAAAACGTGTATTCCCTAGCCAGTTACTAGCCTATTGCTACAGTTGTAGTTTGAATGGAAGCTAGCTACTACTCTTCGAGCTGTAGCAAAACTGTGACAAGTGTGATGCAAGACCTGCTTTTACTTTGAAGTGTAAACGTGAACCTTCTTCTGGCTTCCTTGTACTTTGTCAAAATGATCTGCCGCTAGGCTAGTAGTTAATGAGTATTTCCAGCCAAACTTGAAAAACTAAAGGTGACTGTGGGAACCTGCTAGCAAACAAAGTTTTTGTTGCAGCATTGTCTTTGCAACCAATTTCACCCAGCAAGCACCAGCAACCTCGAGAAACCATTGCCATCCAGTTGGTGGAATATGCATTTTCCCCTAGCAATCCATGACTGTATCACATCCAATATGGTAGACAACTCTCAAGCAATGTGTGCATGACATCATGTGACAAACCCCAATATGCACAATCACAAAAATGTGCAACCTTTATTAAAAGGGCATGCAGACAGCGGAAAAGGCTATAAGTATTTCAAGAAGTCAAGTCATGAAATCCAAAACCAGTGAGCTGACTCCGCTGTCTAACTTAGATTTGAATGGAAATGTGAAAATCAGTAGTTCTAATGGCACAAGGATGGACAGCTGAAGACACATTTCAGACATTGTAAAACTTGAAAGGTGCAGGACTGGAGCAAAGCAAACATTTACTTGTGTCTTAATTCCTGAACATAAGGAGGGTAAACATTTGATTTGATTTACTCCAGACACCAACAGTTTTTGACCTATATTGGTTTGTTTCTGTTGCAAAGCTGCATGTTTCTTCCAGTTTGGCTTGATTAACTGCTTTACCTCTAACACGTTAACCTGATCCGACGTGGGAGCACGTGAAATGGAAGCAGTTAAAGGCAAAAGATTTGAACAAAATCCACCAAATAAACAGAAGAGAAAGAGGCAAGTCCATTTCATATTGGGTTAAGGTGATGCGGTGGTTGCAGGAATCAGAGATCGTGAGTGGGGGGTTCAAGGGGGTGAGTGGGTTAAAGTTGGGGTCAGGCTAGAATGTCGAATTGGCTTCGCCTGCTTCTCTGCTGTTCCCAAAACACACAGCTTGGTGGGCCATTTTAGCCCCAGAAACAACACTGTGATGTTACGCTCCAACACCACAAAATACTGGCATATAATAGCACATTAAAACAAAAAGACTTGTTTTAGGAAGTAATGGCCATTTTTGCTCAGGAAGCTTTGAATGCAGCAGTATGTGGGGAGGGAGGCTTCATACCGCTTATGGTGAGAGCTGTGAGAGCTTACTGAGAAAACCTTAAAAAAGCTTGGTTTGTAAATGATATTGCTTTAGCAGATTAGTCATGAGATGGATGTTCAACATTCTAGTCTAATAAAAAAACTGCATTATATATTAGCTTTTTACAAATGAATAATCATGAAATAACCAGTCAAAGATATTAATAGAAAAGCATTATGGAGCCATGTTTTTTGGTGATCACTAAGGGATGTAGTCTTTTTATTAAAAGCTCGTTAAAGCATAAAATGTTTTCTTTTTAACCCTTTGTTCAAAGCAAATCGTGCATCATCTTCTCTCAACAGTCCTGGTTTCACTTAAAAGTATAATAAAAAGGTCACGACTCCACCCATATGAATACCAGAACCCACACCTGGTTTAAGTTTGGTCAGTGTGCACTTCAAGGTCATCTCCTCGTGTGCCTTTTGATCGCTTCCAGCACTGGTCCCATTTCATATTTTTCCCTAGGAGTCCCATCTGACCAGTTGCAATTTTATTACACAAATTTAAACTGGAGCGTTAAGATACAGTTATGTGAAAGAGAAACCGTTTACCGGACTCTATGTGGTGTTGTTAGGAGCAGCTCATGATTCAACACCTTTAGCAGCAATAACTTGAAGTAATAATTTTCTGTATGACTTCATCAGTCTCTCATATCACTGTGGAAAAGTTTTGGACCATTCTTTACAACATTCATGTCACAGTGCTAAATTTAAGTCCAGGACCCCAGAAAACAACCCCAAATACGAATTAGAACAAATGGGTTTGTGGTGCAGGAAGGTATTTATAGAAGTATGACTGGAAGGGGTGTGGTCTAGCTGGAGAAATTCACATAAATTACTTTCAGTTCACTCGTAAGTTCCCAAACCACAAATACAAATGATGGAAGTTCACTACTAATAACTAGAGATGGACCGATCCGATATTAAGTATCGGTCTGATACTGACCCAAATTACTGGATCGGATATCAGCGAGAAATAAAAAATGTAATCTGATCCATTAAATATAAAAAAAAAAAAGCACCTCACAAAACTTGCGACACGGTGTAACTCGGCTCATAACCTTAGCACTCACAGCAGTATGCATCACGTGATAGAGCGGCTGTGTGTATTTGTAGATTCGCTACCAAACCAGCATTTCATCTCCGAGGAAGTTTTCCCAGAGAGAAGTAAAGCAAGTGTGTAAGTTCATCTCTGAATGTTTGTAAAGCATT